CGAATTCAAAAAGCCAAGTTGATTTTTAAGTCACATTTTCTCCAAAATGTTTATTTATTTATTTATTTCAAATGGCAGGCTTTATGATATTTATCATTAGCCCCCCTTAATCCTTTGACGTTCAGCTTACCCCAAGAGGGGGGGGGGATACATTTATAGCAGTTAATTACGTTCATGAAGGGGGGTACATTTATAGCAGTTAATTAATAGCAGTTCATTTAGCTGTCTTCTTGCTTCCCAGTATCTCTGGCTTAATTACATTTATAGCAGTTCATTAATAGCAATTCATTAGCTGTCTTCTTGCTTCTTACATTTATAGCGGTTAATTAATAGCAGTTCATTAGCAGTCTTCTTGCTTCCCCGTCTCTTTGGCTTTCCGTCCTTGTCTTTAGAGCTGGACACCGAAGTAAGGTGTGTCTTCTCCATTTCCTCATGTAGGTTACATAGAGGGCATGTTATAGGCAATCGTGTTCGGTACGTAGTCTAAACTCATCAACGGTTGTCCAGTACGTAGTCTAAACTCAGCAACGGCTTGGTGAAATTTGACCTACAGTGGGGGGTCATGGTAGTATGAAGTGTGAAGTCAACTGCCAGTATGAGTATATATTGCCCAAGGTACACCATGTGGTGGTAAGTCTATCCCACACCCCATAGAGGAGAGATAACTATTTGGAAACGTTATTTTCATAGTTGGAAATATAAAAGAGCTAATTTTTTCCCCAATTTTGATATAATACCTCCTCCGTAGCACCCCCGTACGTCCACTTCATCGGCTTCTCTTGAGAACCTATTATTTCTTAAGCTCTCATTCCTGGAGGATATTCTTTCATCCAGATTGGCATAACCGACACGACATTTCATTTCGTGTTTAAATAACTAGGTTTCAAATTGAAAGCTAACAGCCACTTTTGAGAATTTAGCGTGGGACTTCAAAAGTCTCTCCTTGAGTTCTGTGAAAGTGGGACGATATACAAGACAAGTGGATTCCACTTACCATTTTCGTAGGGTTGATTAATTTTGACGAGGGACCATTAAGGGCGTTTTGGTGAATTCGCTGGTTTGAATTCAGCATCTTGATTCATTTGTCTTCGTTTGCCAAGTACTTTATCAAATGTAACAATGACCTTGAAAATATTTGAACGAGCGGTAGTACAAATGTAATCTTTATGGGGAAATCTTTGCATGCCTTCTCAGAGGCATTCGTTGGCAGACGCTTCTTATAGAAGGGATATATTTGACGTGCCTTCTCCAATAAATGCAGATCTTGGAATGCCGTTGGCGTTTCATCTTCATCCTGAACTCACCAAGTTACTTGGTATCAATCAAGCCCGTAAAACGTAACGTTATTCAAAAGCTAATATCTTGGCCGGGGATTTCCACCGCCAACTCAAAGCGGCACTGACTGGACGTTGCACACCTGAACGATGGATTGGTGCTTTGCCTTGGTCTTCCTTAGTATTCCACCCACTGCCAAAGCAACTATAATTGTTCAGCTGCAGAAGTGGTGTTTGAATGACCCTAACAAATCTCTGTCCAACTGTTATTGCCTTCCAACGACTCACGCTGGCTCAACACTGTAGATTGCGTTAAAAACGACATTCCGTCAAGAGGAAACTTTGAGCTGTCTCGACTCACTCTGCTTCCAATCCCTTTTTACACTGACTCACTCACTCACCTTAGACATGATGCTCTTAGCAGAACCTTCCCCACTCACTTATGATGATCTAATCACACTCCCTCAAAGAAGTAAAAAAACACTTATCCTCTGTGAAACTAATACCAACCCCCTTTCATTAATAAACACGCATGGAGGCGACGCCGTCATTTACTTATACGACTCTCTTTCCATTACCCTTTTGCCTTGATCCCTTTCATTTCCCCCTATTTTAACCACCGTCACCCCAACGTCCCTCATAGACTCCGCGCCTTTCCAATACTAACCTATCTTGCCTATGAGATAAACAGTAATCAAGATTGTATATATCACATCATCCATGTAATCGATGATTACCCGACTTCGGTGAGCTGGTCCATACACACAAAAACAACACCACTCTTCAACTCCTACCTGGTGATTTCTACGGCCAGCACTTCCCGATCAAGAGCCCCCCCCCCCCCCCAACCCGTTTCTCTCAACACCACACCTTAACACTATCTCCAACCCCATCCAGCAACAACAAGTAGCATTCCCTTTCCACAGTCGTTAAAATCGATGGGCATTGAGGGGTGTGGGGGGGGGGAGGGGAGGAAGAAACGTAGAAGATACTTCGAGTGGCCAATGTCACACACTTTACTCAAATTCAATAAAATTGAGGGGGAGACACTAATATTACAGAGGCATATTCAAACGCTCAGAATCGTTTTCTCTCCGTAAAACGGAGGAACATTGGGAAAAAAGGCAAAGGCTTCATGAGGACTGGAAGTCGTGTTGTAGAAAATTGACAGGCAAGAGAGGAAGTGGGAGAGAGAGGGAGAACTCGATTCAGACCACGGAGTAAAAGTAAGGGTGGAGGGGGGGGGAACAAGAGAAACTATACTGTACAAAAGAGAAGGAGCGAGAATTGCGATCGATTGATTGATTGAAATGGTTTTGTTGATTGATGACTTCGAGGGGGAAAAGAAGGGCATGGAGGGTCGGGGGGGGGGGCAGGGAGGTTGGGTAATTTCTAGGGTGGGCTAGACAAGGACAAACTCTGAGGTGTAGATATTCTCCTCATCTTCTGCTGACTCAACATGTCCAATAGCTGCGGCAGGCACAGTGGATGGAGGGTTAGTCGTTGAAGGCTGCTGTGATCTAAAGAGGGATAAAGAAGTTAAAGCGAGGATACAACTTTTTAACCTCCTATTAATGAAAAATAAAACAAGCTGCTTACCTTCCATCAGGGACTACACCAATTCGAGGAGCCGAACTATAACCCGTTGAAGTAGCGTTGCTTGTGCCGGTACTTCGAGTTGACGCTAGAATAAAAACAAGAATAATAGTATAAATTTCTATATCCTAAAATCGCTACCAAACTTACTATCAGTGCTAAATTCCTTATTAAACAGCAATATTCAAATCCCAGAGAACACTGATTTATATACATATACATATATACGTGCTCAAATTAGAACGACTGGTTATTTAAACCACCAAGAACATTAAAATAGGATAAGCTTGCAACGATGTTAGCCAGATTGACACGAGTTGTGAGTACTCGGATTAACTTGGGTGAGCAGTGAGCAATGACTGAAATATGAGATAAACACACACCCCTAAACCTCCTTACTCATAAGAAAAAGGACAATGAACATTGCGCTTCCTACGGTTGCTTAGCTTCAACATCTACCCATCTACTGCTACTAGGGAGATTAAGATTTGAGTGGTTTGCCACAGTAGATTTTCACGACATGTAGACCTCATATTGATTAGCTAATTACTTTGGATGACTGGTTAGACTATCTCGAACAGACAGATAGCAGAGTGCCTATAATCTATCAACAAAGTCGATTTATTATTTCTAAATGAATATCCTGGAGACCTGGATACTGAGAACAGCACCAAGCACTCGATACCATCATATGCTCGTCATTACAGGCCCAATAAATATCCTTCCACGAATCCCTGACAAAATAGTGATAATCACTATTTCAGCTCTACCCCTAGTCTCAGTGCTAAGAGCATGTCTATGCCACTTCAATACCTTGGTGCTCACTCTGACAACACTACCATTAGAGCACCCCGCCAACTCTAATATTAGACTGAAAGCAACTGTGTCGGTACTAGCAACTTCAAATAATTTTTTGTTTAATTAATGCGATGAGGAATAGATCATACAAATGGTGATATTGAAGTTACCAACCTTTTCGTGTCCTTTGGTAGTGCTGCTGGGATTGCCTTGACCTTGAAGCATTGGCAGCTACTCCGGATGACATGGACTCCTGTCGCCGCACAACACCTCTCTGGAGTTGCTGTTGCCTCGGCACTCCCGCGGAGTGACCGTAGTAATTGGTGCCTCCTGCGATCATGCCAGGACCCGCAGCAGCAGCTCCCACTGTGGGGTAGTAGTAACTGTGTTGGCTAGACTGTCGATGATAACCACGCACTTCAATTGGCCCTCGCGACATAGCAGACATTCCAGAGTCACTCTCGAGATCCGGACTACAAAAAGTGGGTGGCACGTCAGATAAAACACACCTTTTCTATTACATGCATGTCTCTCGGCAGTAACCACCTAAGTTCTCACAGAGATATAGCTCAAGATAAGCTCAACTAATTGCGCGCAGCAAAAAAGGTTAACACCCAGGTTCCAAGAAAGAAGACGCTGACTTTGATTTGTTATGAACTACTTTCTCCATTCTCTTGAGCTATAAAGCCTCTTCAAATTCATCAGGTACCAAGGAGAGCCAAGAAAAAGAAATTTTGAAAAAAATACTCGTGAATAAGACAAATCGATCAGGACAAAAAGGAGGCCAATGGTTTGACCGGATTATAAGGGGCTAAACCAGCCAACTAGAGTACGAATATACATTTTTAATATATCCGACCGAATTAGGCTTAGACTCGAAATTAGCCATGATGAGAGAAGGCGAGTGATCTCTTTAGGTCACTCGGTGGTGATTAGAAAGATTTCACCTGTGAGTCATCGTGTGGGTATAAAAGTCTGATCAATACCTTAGTTTAAGGTACTGCAGGTTTTAGAAAGTTATTTGAAAAATGCACCCAACCGCACTTACGCGTGTCTCACACAAAGCTGATGCCCCCGACGTGATGAGTTTTGGTGGTGTATCAGACGAAGGCTACAGACACGTATCGAACATACTTCAAACGACAATAGCACCTTCTGTCACGAGTCTAGTGCCAATGGAGATTATTTTGAAAGAGGACTGTGAAGTCCTAAGGGCGTTAAATGGTTAAACGTCATCCCCAACGGCGGTACACTAAATCTAATGTGAGAATGCCTCAAGTGAGCCTCTCGAAAACGGAGCCAAATTAACACTACATATTTTTAGCACTCAGTGGCGTAGTGGGTAATATTTCCATTACTAAGGACGCAATCTTCCAAACATCTGTCCAATTATCTGCACCTGCCAAACTTATCAATAAACGGTCGTCTTTACACATTCAAAGAATGAAACCGAGTCCAAAACGGCGCATGTTCTTCTGATCAAGTGAACTCTAAACAAGGTACTTTAGAATGACTTAATTTGGTAAAGAAGCCCACACGAACATACAATTCAATTCGAGCGGATATGAGTTGTTGATTTTGAGGAATAGTTGGTAACTTGGAAATCTGTCCGGCTCTAACAGCTGGCACGATAGCTCTAGATTGATTAGCTCCAATAGCCGAGTAATCCACCGATGAGTACGCGTCAGTCATCTCTGATGGGCACTCTGATAGCTGTCGCTTCAGGAAAGCTGGTGGCAGAGCTTCACTTGCAATTGCCATTGCAGCCAATCCTTGTCGGCCGCCGCCGCCACCACCACGTCTTGCAATATCATTGGAAGGTCCCGCCGGTAATCGTCCACCACCATCGAGTTCATCCGGCAAGGGTGGTTGTTGGGTGAATTGACAAATGCCAGGATCTGTTGTTTCGCTGGATCCTGACCCACCGTTTAGGGAATTCACGGCAGTAGAGACTGGGATATCACCAGGGTGGGAAGTTGGAATACTGACAGTGTTTCCAGTGGCTAAAAGACGACCGTGCTTGCGGCCATATTCATAGGCCTGCATAAGTTCATCCTGATTGGAAGAGACGGTGGTTGAACTGAGGACACTACCACGGTAAGCAGCAGTGAGGGGATCGAGGGCTAAATGGGGATTACGGGTATCGTAGAATACGCCAGAAGAGGGACCACCAACCGCAGTTCCAGGTGGACCGCCATTTGATGTGTTTCCATTACCGTTCGATCCTCGAGCTCTTGCGTAGCCACGATGATAAGTTGTGGCTGCTGAAATGCCACCTGCAAGAAAAATCATTGAAGCCGATGATAAAAAATACTAAAATACTTTCAAGATAGTAATTACACCCTACGAGCATCATTCAAGTCACAATAATGCTAGAATGGTAAAATAGGAGATAAGTGAGTACTTAAGTCCTAGAAGAAAAAGGCAGAATAGTTAAAAAGGCGACGACTGAAGCCACACGGCTTTAAATCTACACACACGTACAAAGTGTTGGCTATGGAAACTTCTAGTGGGTGATAAACATATATTCAAGAGAAAGGAGGCAAAATTAGGATGATAAATCGCATTAAGAATACTGTCCCTTGAAGATTTGAAATTTAATCAAAGTTGAGGAGTGTGGCGGCGTAAGGTAGAAATAATTTGTGCGGATTATCGGTGTCATCAATTCGTTGCAAATAAAGTGGGGTAATAAGGAACTGGCGGATCGATGATAGGTCAATTAAAAGATGGCTATGAAATCGCATGAGAGTTCGTCACCAAGAGCACTAACTGATGAATACGGTACAGAGTTTTCCTAACTCCTTGAATTTCACTCTTAATGCTTTCATGACCCTTCTTCAAGAAAGGAACATATTGCGTCTTTACAAACTCTTCCTAATGGATTTGGGTGGGTTTCCCACAGAGAAGTTCAAGGCACTAAAGCTTCACTACAGTAAACAAACACCTACTTAACAAAAGCCTAGCTTTCTTAACTTGGCATCACGATATTGGGAAATCGGGAGAGATTATCATTACCTTATTACTCGAATCAAAATAGATTGGCATCAATAACTTCTCAAATAATCTTTGAAGTTATCTTAAAGAAGACTAGCTAGAAGCTGGGTAGAAACCCTGACAGAGACTAATTCACTGCCATATATGAATATATATATATATATATATATATATATATATATATATATATATATATATATATATATAT